GAAACTGACTTATGCCACCAAGGGGAAAATACAGAGCTTTTTTAAGCTATGGGGACAATTCATTGAATTTCTTGAAAGTCACAGATCAAGAAGGTGAATATTTCTAAAGGATAGTGAAGTAGCCTATATAAGAAAATGTGATATTCAACACAACAGCTATATAGGAATTGCAGGGTAATAATTAAGTTTTTTTTATTGTCGTCTGTTTTTTTTTTCTCTCTCTTCTCGGTGTTATGTTCCTTTTGGTTTTGTCTTTTCTTTTCTCTATGAATGTGGGCATGCAATCCCTCATTAATGTATGTGTCAAGTTGATTGTGAAAATCCAATAAATATAATTTTCCCCAAAAAAAAGAAGTGCTTTGAGTGGTCGGAAGACTAGAAAGGCGCTATACAAGTACAGGTCCATTACATTTATGTTAGCACCATGAGAAACATTTTTTCCCATGTGGAAATGACAGTAAACAAGCTTGAACCATAAACCTTTTTGTAATTGGCTCACAAATAGCCAATTGAAATGGTTCATCTTTATTTTTTATGAAGAAAACGTATTATGGGTGAGTTAAATGTTAAGTAGAGGTATTTTTTTACTTTTGAGAGCCAGTATCCTGCAGTGACATCGAGCTGCATGATGCTTTAATGGAGTCTTTTCCAAACATAGCACTATGGGTAATGTAGGCATGAGTCTATTCTATCCCCACCTGCAGTCCCCGCATATTTATTCCTCTCAGGTTTTTGTCACCCTTTTTGCAGCAGGCTAAGCTTTGTGTCCCCATACCAGTTGCTCTCCATCTCTCCCAGTCTGCCTCCCTGTCAGATCTCCACTGAGCATGCAGTGCCTGCGTCACTCCTTGCAGCAGATGGAGAAGAGGAGGGGGAGGGGGCGGGTAAGAAAGAGAGAGAAAGGGGAGGAGAAAAAGGGAACTGCATCCCTCTCTTGCATCAGCGCCAACATCACTACCACACCAGCCTTCGTCACCGGAAAACAACAAGGAAAATGATCGCACAACAGAGCTAAAAAAATATAAACACCATAGGCAGCAGCTCCTCCTCCCCCACCAGACGTGCATCCACAGATTAGGTTAGGACAGTTATACCTTCCCCAGGCACACGCATCTAAAAGCTCCTCCAGGCAGAAGGAGCTCTCCCAGGGATGACTTGAGACGAGAGGCAGGAAGCTATTGGACGCTCTCCGTCAACATGGGCAACCAGGAGGCTAAGCAAAAGAAAGCTGCAGCAACATCGGGTAATGGAAGCTACCCTTCACTGGATGAAGGATGGAAAGAGGGAGGAGGGGACACAACAAAAAAGGGAGGAAAGAAACTCTGTAAGCATGGAGGTAAAGGAGCAGGCAGTGGAGGAGGAGGAGGTGGAGGAGGGGGGATGCATTGCACTGGACCAGGAAAAAAGAAAAACAAATCTGAGTCCAAGTCCTCTGTTTTCTCCATCCGGAAAAGAAAGGGCAATTTGAAAGGAAAAGGAGATTTGTGTTTGTCAGTAACTGGCTCAAAGGAGGATGTCTTATTATCTCAACATGATGAACTGGACAGCACAAAAACACCTGAAATGTCTGCAGATGAGCTTGGACAGTCAGACACTGAGGCTGCTTTCCCTGAGAAGAGAAAGAAACTGGAGCAAGGGAAAAAGGATGGAAATGGAGGAAAGCAGATGCAGGAGATGCAGTGGAAAGCCTCAACAGCACCAACATCTCCCACAGAGGATGGAGGGCAGAAGGGAGGGAGCTCAGGGTCAGACACAGATATTTACAGCTTCCACTCAGCAGCTGACCATGAGGATTTGCTTGCGGACATCCAGCTTGCTATAAGGCTCCAGCACCAACAGCAGCATGGGCGGGTTAATTCAGTTGTAGAAGCACAGGAAGCGAGAGATAGGGATTTAAGCTGGGGAGGGGGAGAGGGGCCGAGGAAGCAGAGTAACGGGTTGATTAAATTAACTCCTCCTGAGGTGCTTGACCTGACCCCAGATTTAGAACTGGGGTCTGATGCCCTGTCATTCCTAGAGACAGGAACTCTGTCTGGCTCTGTCAAGCATGGAGACCAGCCGCAAACACTACGCATCCCTTTCCACACTGTGGTGCCTGAGGGGAAGGAGGAGAAGGAGGAGAAGGAGGAGGTGGGGCATCCAGAGATAAATTGGAAGGGGCAGAGGGAAAGGGAGAAAGAAGCTTCTCTTTGTGTTGGCACAGGCACAAAAGACCAGCATGCTTGGCTGCAGAAGCCCCCTCATACAGCCATCACCATGGCTACTGCCAGGGGGGCAGCAGTCAGCCCAGTTGCCATGACAACTAGTGGTAACTGCTTCCCTGATCCCACATTTGACAGTGACGGGAAAATCCCAGGGGTGGAGGAGGAAGCAGGAGGTGAAACCTGGCAGGAGGTTGAAAGGGAGCCCAAGGTGGATGTGGATCTCACTCCTCCACCCGCAGACAGCCATAACAAAAGTTCTGAACCTACTGAAGGGCTGACCTCAGGGACCGTGTTTGAAGAAGGTGGGGGTCAGTTGGGCTCAGGTACTAGTGCAGAGTCCCTTGAGGACTGCCTGAGTGCTGGATCTGAATCCAATCACTTTGCTGGTGCCAGCATCAGTGTTACTCCTTCCAATCAGCAGTGCAGGAGGAGCAGCATGTGTTTCACCCCACTGCCTCCCCAAGACAGCCCCACGTTGGCCAAACGACTCCTCAGGTCTACCCACTCGTCAACCTCCTCTAGCCCTGTGGTGAAACCATACCCTCCTATCTTCCCCTCCTACATCAAGACCACCACCAGACAACTCAGCTCCCCAGGACAGTCCCCAGCCCTGTCTCCTTCCCACAGTCCCCTTTCCCCACGCAGAGCCTACCATCACCTCCACAGGTATATGTGGCATTCCAACTTTTGTTGAAACCTTTTCCTTTGTTTTACCTTTGACAAGACAGTATGATAGTACAGTTATATTGTGAGCCATTCTTTCTCAAACCCCTTAAAATCAAGAAGGTCTTGCGACCTTGCATGAGGAGTGTGATGGTAAGACAGGTTGTAAACAAAACTCCTGGTTCCAGGCTCACCACAAGGTATTTCAATGCAATTAAGTATAATTCGGTACATTACAGGTATGGCTTTTATGTTGTTCTTCTTTTGCTGTGAGTTTTGACTCCGGTAATATAATAATAATATTACTAATATTATACAGTATGCTGCTATAAGAAAACATATACCATTCAGAAAGTGAAGGAGAGGTGCAGGATTTTTTGTCATCTGTAACCCCACAAAATAATATGTGTGAACAAACATCCATAATTCATTCATTACACTCTAGAAAAAGTCTAGATACAGAGTATTGTTCTTAATACAGTGCCCCACACACCACTATAGAATGTGAAGTAAGTTTAATTTGAGAATTTCTTTTTGGAGGAGGGCTTTAAATGAATCTATGTTGTTAACAAGTTTCTAATTGGAGCTACTTTTGTAAAGGGGAGGGGGGAAAGTTGGACATAATATAGTTAATTCTTTAAAACCGGGTAGTGAGCAGTGCTGTGTATAACCAAGGAGTCACAAAGGTTCTTTAACAGGTGAATATAAGAGCAATTTATTGTGCTATCAACAGGGTTAACAAAACAAACAAACAAACAAAGTACTTAAAATTTGCGTTTACTTAAAAACACAATACTTAAAAATAAAAATACCTAAAACAATTCATAAAATGAGATTAAAACATGAAATAAAAGTCCAAATATTATGGAAGGATACTGTTAAATACTGGCCTGCTTGTTGTACCTTGTGCTTGGTGTTTGTTTCACCTGCTAAGTCCCTCCCCTCACCTATTGCTTCTTGGTTGGTCAGCACTCATGTCCAATTGGTCAAGTCAGTGCTGACCAGTTGCAGATTATTGGGGTAATCAGTGCAGTTTTAGACAGGAAGTCAAATATAAAGCATAAGAACTAAAACCTTTTTCAACTTAAAAGCATGCAGTAAAACTATAATTTCATGAAATCAAGTAACTATATATAAACATGCAATAAATAAGCACACATAAAACACAACATAAAATGTATACACATACATACAGTATACTTCCATCTTGTGACACTAAAAATATCACATCCCTGATTGCTTATTTTTTAGATACCTGCTGAATTTGTTTCTAAAAGTGATTTTTGCGGTGGCTGTATGTTTAGTAACGACACCCACTGTGATGGGTTTGCATATGTGTGAAGTGAAATATAACTTGTGTATCTGCCCCGTCATTCAGATCCACCCCAAAATGTATTGGATTTTTCATTGGCCCATTCTATGCCCTGAGTTTTATGAATATGAGACCAGTAGTATTTCTGTAATGCTGCTGACAGTCAAGTTTGGCGGAGGTAAAAATTGTTCAAACATTCCACAGTAGTGGAAAAGTTCCAATGATGTTGAGTTTGCCCATTTACCAAAAATGCACCCCCCTTTTACCTTAATCTGATGGCAGATTACTATCATTATAATGTAGTTTATGTTATTAAATTGTGTGAATGCTTTCAAAGTAAAGCTAACTAGAATATTGACAGGACGATGCCTGAGGGTCACCAAATCCGTAGGCAGCGCTCTCGTAGCCTCGCTGGGCCTGTGAGTCGCTCAGCTGACTGGACAGAGGAACTTGAGACGAGGCTAAGGAGCAGAGAGGAGGAAGGAGGAGGCTCTGGAGGTTCAGGAGAATATTTGATGGGCTACCGAGGAGGAGGCAGCCAACCTATCTGTGCCACCAGAAGATCTTCCTGTGGACAGGTTTCTACCTGCGGCTTTCAGGACATCTTCACAGGTGAGTACAGAATAGTTTCAGTTCAGTTGATGCTTATTTCACAGGTATGGAGTGTGACTTTAAAGTAAAAATTTGATATTTTGGTTAAGAACAACTTAATTTATTTAAAACACAGGTTAAACCTCCAAGTCTCTTAAAGGGGACATATTTTTTGCAAAACCAACTTTTTAATCATTTGATTATGTACATCTATGACTCTGGAGGCCCGATCAGAAGGCAAAGTGTGAAAAAATATGACTCAGTCGTGTTTTTGTGGGCTGCCTCAGTCAAAATACAGGAGATAAAGCAGTCTGTTCAGATTTTTGTTTTCTGATGACGTTTTCCCCGTTTAGGACGTCAGTTATGTTGCCACCCACCGCAGTTTACTTCCTTGTTGTCTAGCGGAGCTCCGCCATTGTCCCTATAAAAGAGCAAGCTAGCAGAGAACAAGCAAGCAGCCCAGCCAGCAGCCTGCCAGCCTTATGTCTGGGCAAAGGCTTCAGCAGGCAAACTGTTCAGTCATTGGCTGCACAGCCCAACACAAATATCTAATTTACATATGTATGAGCACACGATGAAACGCTAACCAGGAACCCCAATAGGCGTTCTTGTGTCATAGATGGGAACAGCCCAAGCCGCAGCTGACCCTTCTCACCAGGGGGGGCTCTTAGTTCAATGTTCATCTGCACACACATTTAAACAAACATTTGAACAAACAATAACTACGTTAGCATCACTGGAGGTCCTGCAGCTAACAACCGTGTAGCATGTGCTAGCGTTACATGAACAATGAAAAACAAAGCATAAATTCTTAAAAAAACTTACAGTTACTTCCTCATGCCGTGTCTCCACAAAGACAGTTGGTACAAATCCCTCTTTCAAGGAGCAGTCTTTTAAGCAGTCCAGTGTTGTAATGAGAGGTGAAAAACAAGTCGACATGAAGTGGTTCACAGACATGTTCAGGTTTTTCTACTCTAGCTGGACATTTTGCTTTCAAAAATAAAAATAAATCCACTGTGCCTC